ACAGATTTTGAATCATCTATTTTAAAATCAATATACTTGTTTATAAGAAAAGACCTATTACCAGCATCTTCATTCACGTACTTTTGTTGTATCGCATACCATAGTTCCCATGCCGTAGGATATTTGTGAAATACATTGAACAAAGCATTTGTCATTGCATTAAGAATGATGAAACAACAAACATAATCATCCTCCATCCATTTCTTTTGTTTCTTGGTTTGTTCGTTGTTGGACGATCCTTGATTGTTAGAAGTTCCATCACCACTAGACACTGTAACATTTGAAGATTGCCCATTGGATATTTCTCTTTGAGGATATGACACGGACAACACATAAACAACCTTTGCAATGGTCATTTGATAAAAGATCTTCATTCTCCAACGTTTGTAATTGAGCCCATTGAACCTTTCAAGCCTTTCCACGTCATGAAAATAAGATTTCACCACCACAGAATCAATTGTATAAATATTACTATCTCGAAATTGTTGTGAAAAAATGAGTGGTAAAACAATTTTAAGTAGTAGAAAAGCAAAGAGAAAACCAAAGAAGATAGGTCGTCAGGTAAGGCGCGACACTCGTTATCTTCGTGATAGTAATTTTTTCACTTATAATGTAGATGGACTCTTGAAAATTATACCCCCATGATACAATGCCTAACTTTAAGATTATCAAAGACTGCACTCCTTTGTAATCTTGGAATCAAAACTCAACCCGAATAGAAAATCAAAAAATATAGAAGCTTTTAATCAAAAAGAAGAAGAAGAATTAAATTCTTGATACTTTGTTCTTGCATTTAAACTCTATTTATAGTGTTCTATGTAACTCTTAATGAAAGAGTGTAATCCTTCAAAATCATGGCAGAAGACACCCCTTGAAAGGGCTGCAATAATATAGTCGTTATAGACTAATTTAAATAGAATACATGTCACATTCAAACGAGGTTCCCACATTCGAACATAGGTTGCGTTCGAATGAACTAAAGTCTCAGGATCTCAGTTTCTGACAAAAAGTACTGAGAGCGAAGCACGTTCGAACGTAGGATCGCGTTCAAACGTCGTCTCTCTCCTTTTATTTATTCTTCTTCCTTTCTTCTTATATATATGCCTCCTCTTTAAGAGGATTCCTTGAGATCTTGAGTGGAGAATGAAGTTTTTCCTCTATTTATAGATGAAGATGAATCTATGAAGAACTTCCAATAACCAATGTTGGATTCATGTCTTTGCCCTCCAACTCATATACTCCAAATGTTTTGGAGCAAAGTGAAAAATTTCACTTTTTCACCAACCTCAATCTAAAAAATACTATTGTATTTTATGTATACTATATATATATGCTCTTATATATACATGTATTTAATGTTTATGTCAATTCATGCAAATGATGTTTTACTAATTAATATATCATTATTAGTAAATAACTATATATATATATATATATATATATAATAAAGTAGAACAAATTTGAATTTTGGAGACAAAGAGTGGTCTAGATCGTTTCGTGACCAAAAAAAGCATCATCTAACGGATGACGTTATCCCAAACTGTCTCGAGCTATTGACGTCTCAGATCATTTTGATCCGACTAATCACATTAACTCTTTTGAAATATTTTTGCTACTCAAAATTTATAGTTTTCAAAATTGATATTGCAAAATTTAATTCTTTCAAATCTTTTCCTTAAATCAAGCAAATCTCTCTCTCTCTCTCTCTCACGCTTAATTCACGCAAAAAGTATCAATTTTTCATAATATTTTTCTCTATATCTCTCCCTGTATCTTACAAAAATATTAGATAGTATCTGATTCAAGTAAATACTACATATCTTTATAGATAGATAGTATATATCAGAGAGCGAGATATTATATTATAAAAATATTCCTCTATATCCCTCTCTGAAGGAAAATTATGTAATAAATATTAGATAGATAGTAGATATCACGAAAATATTCTTTTGTATCTCTCTCTTTCATTCAAGCAATATTACAAACACAAATCATACAAATTCAATAGTTAATTCTATTTTTTCCATAATCAATAAAAAAAAAACATAACTTGCAAAAAATCTAATTTAACAAATAGAATATGCTTAATATGTAAAATATACAAGATTAAATTCAAGTTATTGAGCAACTCAGACATGAAGAGATATATTAAAGAAAATATGCTTAACATTTAAAATATACAGGATTAAATCCATATACAAGCAAGAATCATACAAATTCAATATTTAGTGAACAACACAAAAATAACAATATTTACTAAATAAATCCAAATTTAAATAACCGAGAAAAATAAAACAAAATTACAAATGAGAGAACTGATACAAAATTATAAGCAATATTATGAATACAAATTATATAAATTTAATATTTAGTGAACAACATGAAGCAACAATCTTTACTAAATAATTCAATACTAAGTAATGTTTAGTTTAAAAAAATATACTAAAAATATAAATAATCGAGAAGAATGATATAAAATTAAAAGCACTACTATAAAATTGAATCATACAAATTCAATAATCAGATCGTATCTTTTGGAAATCGATTGAATTTCTGATAGTCATATTTGGTCATTTGACAACATTTGCTTACTTAGTTTATTTGTAGGAGTGTTGTTTTAATTTTCATTCTATTAGTAATTAATTCTGTTATTATTTAGATAAGTTGATTATAAATGTTTAAATCGTAGGTTTTGAATCAAAAACAGAACATTGGATATTATAAACTGATATTTTTTTTTCAGATGTTTGAATTATTATGTTTCAGTAGTTATAACATAATTTTCGTGGTGTAACAATTTAATGTGAAAATAGATGTTATGCATGTAGGTTGATGTTATAAAAAATATTAGCGGACTCATTTTGTTCGTCGTTTAATACAATATTGTATTTTATTTTATATTTATGTATGGATAAATATTTGTAACTAATTTACGAGTAACACCGTGCCTTCAAGTACGGGCAATTACTAGTATATATATATAACACTAATCTCTATGTAATCAGCCCTCTAAAACCATCTTAACTTAACTAGCATTGGGCATGTTGAGGGCAGGAGGATATGTAATTGTTGTGGGTGGGTGGGTGGTGGTCTGTGTTGGTTGATTTCAATTTTGAAGCAACAAATTAAAAGTTGCAACAACTCAAGGAGGCCAACAAAGGGATGGATAGTGGATAGGCCTGGCCTCTTTCTGGTCTGGTGGACATTTCTCCAACAATTAATCTCTATCAACTTTGTCATATTGACTTAAAAATTTTATGAGGGCTAAGCTTTCATTGAATTGAATGACCCACTTGAGGCCACCATGCTTGCTTTCATGGCCCAACTGAAACTTCATTTTCGAGGGTAGGGTAGTGATTAGTTATAATGGCTGAAGAGCACTAACAAGCAATTTGGTTATGTAAGGAACACCCATCTAGCTAACCTAATACAAATCATATATATACATATATATGGTGCTTATAAAGTCGATAAGCAAAAATTCACAAAAAAACGTAACAACTCACCCGTTACAAGACCGTTGAAAAGAAGGATTCTTGTGTTAGACAGCTTATTACACCTCACAAGTCACCACACTTCCTTCTCCTCCTTTTCCTTCTCATTCTTCTTCAACTCAATCTTAATCATTATGTCTCGGGTCGGGTGCTATCCATCTTCTCCATATTTCTACTCTCAATTTCTCCGCCATTTTTAATCTTTCTTAATATTAAAAAAAGACAATTTAGTGCACAAAAAATTCTTTTGTGACTATTGAATTTTAGAATAACCAAATCATTATAGTCTTAAGTGTCAAAAATCACAATAGAATAGTTTTATTAAGGCATCAAAATCACATACCAAGTCAATTGTTTTTTTAGATAAAAATAAATATTGTGGTTTCCCTCAATATACTAACTCTCTTCCTATATGGATATCCTCCTTATTTTATTTTAGGACAAATTACAGTCACACCCTTTATAAATAAGTATACTTATAGGCATACCCTTTTTATTTTTAAATGACACTATCATCCCTTCAAATTTAATATTCTCATTTTAAATATAAGCATTACCCTTCTTATTCATAATTGTGATGCACCCGATTCTTCTCCATAACATTCGATCTCTACCAAATTTTATAAAGAAAATAACTAACGTCTTTTCTCTATCGTTGAACTATTACCATCACAATCATCATCCTTCGCATAATTGTATGAAAATTTATTAAATCTTACCCATTTATTGCCCCCTCCCCTCCTTTGCACCTACATGAACAAAGATGTGCATACTTCATATACATTTAGAATCACAATTAATCCATCGTAAGAAAATAATATTCTCGTCATTTTGACATAATTTAAACTCCACTCATCAATTGCACCAAATTTAATAATCATACACACACCCTATATGAATATAAATCTAAAGAAAGATGGGACAACAAATATAGAGATACATGTAGTCGACAATGGAGATGGGATATTCTGTAGAGGAAGGGAAGGAGGGTCAATCAACACTGTGGGGCTTGGCTTATGTCTCTCTCTTTCACTGCTAACCATATTATACAACAAGTAAATTAGGTGGAAAAGATTTTGGGACATTTTTCCTCCTTATTCTCTTATTTTTTAAAATTTTATTTTATTTTAATACATTAAATCCAATTACATTTCACCATGTGACAGAACTACCCCCTCCACTAAATAACAACTCCTCATCTAAATTATTTTAAAAAATGACTTTTCTAAGTTTTTCTAATTAGTGAAAAGGGTAACAAAAGTCAATGAGATATAAATTTCATACATCGATTGCTTGCCGGTAGAGTATATTTCAATAGAGTATATATTATAACAATGTAAAATGACACATTCTGTTAACACCTACCTACCAATTGACAAATAACAAATATGGGGGAAGGGAGGGCGTAGTTAGTATGCATTTTTCAAAAAAGTGCGGGGCATATGTATAAATAATACAAGGGGGGGTTAGATGTAATTTATCATTTATCAACTTCTCTCTCTTTCGTCCAACCTCGCTCTCTTTTCCTTTTCGTTTTTGGAAGCAATCACCTCGAAATCACTTTCATCTCTGTTACCTCTCTTTTTTTGTTAATTGGAATTTTGAATTTTATTTTGTACGGGAAGGGTTTCGTTTGGTTTTGTTGGCTCCGAAGCAGTTATCAATCTCAACTACTTGCACAAACCCTTAAAAATTTGGGAATTTGTCTTCCAATTTTTTGGGTGATCATTCCATTCTGAGGAATGCTTTGAAGCTGTGAAGAATTGGATCTAGCCGGTGAAGAATTCTATTTGTGGGATTCTGACCGGCGAGAGAGAGAGAGAAGACAAAATGGCGAACTTGGAGTTGCAGATGAGCCCTCAGTTGGAACAGATCCATGGAGAAATTCGTGACAATTTTCGAGCCCTCGCGTATATTGCTCTCCATCTCTCTGTTTTATATCAATTTCAATATATTGTTTTTGTGTGTAGACCTATACGTGTGTGTGTGTGTGTGTATATATATATATATATATATATATATATATATATATATATATATATATATATTACATGTTATCGTTGAAAAATCTGGGGATCTGAAATCGAATGTAATTGAACTATGAAATAGATTCTCCGTTTGGTTCGTGGGTAAGTTACTATACAAAAACAGTTTCTAGAGTTTTGAACTGTAATTTATTATTTATGTCTAGAGGAAATGGGAGCATTCTCTTTATAGAACCTCATGTAATTTTCGGATAATTTGGGTTTAACTTATCATGTTTTGGATTTCAAGTTGGTGGATTTAAAATTCTATTTTTTTTCCCTCTCTCTGATTTCTACATGAGCATGTATCTTTGTAACTTATATAGAGCTGGTTTTCAGCTAGGTTCACTAGGTTCTTATTTCGCTGTGAGTGCTGAACTGAGGAGATGTAAAAGGTATAATTTGGTTTGGTCCAATCTTTGTTGGGGCATTTAAACAATCAAACTTCTCAATGTTGGATTTGCTATCCCTGTTATGACAGCATTGTATTAGCTTCATTGGCTTGGACTCTTTTTGGTAACATCAAAGAGGCTGTTGAATTAGTTTTAAAACTAGAAAATCTCTGTGTGTGCATAGAAGGACCACCCTCCAGAGAAAACTAGTTTCAGCCTTTTGCTTACCATGTGCTTATGCTTGCAAATCTTTACCTCTTGGTGAAAACAAAGCAGTTACCAAACCAGAGCTAAGTGGCTCCCTCCCTCATACCAATGCCCTTTGCCTTAATTGGTTGTTGAAAATAGAAAATGTGAATATAATGGGACTGAAGCATTCAATTTCCATTAATTGGTTGTTGTAAGTCATAGAAAATGTCAATGTCATGGCACTGATTTGTATGATTTCATTCTTATGGGTTCAATGTAAGACTTCCGCTGTATTTGAACTTACTTAAACTGCTTTCTATTTACAGAAACAAATACATTGGAAATGTATCACTTGGATTGTTTTATTCCTTTGCTACAATACTAGATTTGGCACATTGTCCAAAGGGACAAATGCTTTGACTTTGTAAAATGGTAAAGTTGAATAGGGTAAACGATTCTTATGTTTATAAGCAAAACACTAGAAATGGACCCCCATGCACTTTTTGTTATCTTCTTGTTTTGAGGAAAAATATGTTAATTGCTTCATGTTATGCCTACTTCACCCTACTTCTGTGAACATCAAACCAAGCCAAACTAATCCAAGCTTGCTTCAAATCATTGAGGCTGGGTACATGATTTCTTTTCGTCATTTTCCTTTAGCAAGGGCTGTATGCTCAGTTAATTACAATCAACCATAACCTTTTATCTATTTCATTCCATTTAATTTTGATCTTCCCCCTTTCCCTAGCATTCACACTAAACTGGTTCACCTATGCCTTCACTGATCATCTCCTAATGATCTGGATTGATTCTTTCTCAATTTATATTTTTTTGGTGCTACTTATATCGTCTCATCCTCCTTCTGTGAATATACTATTTGAATCCTAAAGAGACACGAACTCAAGTAAATTTAATACCACTCCTAGATAACATCTTCAAATTTGAATGGGGGTGGTTGTGGAAATATGTCAGTTGGGGTTTTAGTGGAAACAGATCAATGGCCTTGCTCTCAATCATGGTACCCACTTCTTGTCACCAGTGAGGAAGGGATGGCTTGGGAATCTTTTTTATATAGCTTGTGGATATTCCTAAAACTTTTTGACAAGATGTAAAATCAATTTTTACAACAAGGATCTCACTAATTTCAGAGCCATCTATGGGTCCAGTACTAGCCTTGGCCATGTCACGTATTAGTAAATAGAAATGCTTAGGTTTGATTCTAACTTTGAGTTTATGATTTATTCTTTAAAAGGTTTTACTTTCTAACCTCAATTTTTGTGGTCCATTTGCGGCCATGAATGTATGGTCCTCCAATGTTTGTAAAAGCAAACATATTATGGTTCCTAAAATATGTTCATTGATTTTTTCTTCTTGTGTAGCACACGAACATCGAGATTCCTTGATGTTTTGCTATAATAGGGTAATTCAAGTCTATAGTTATTGTGCGAAGGTTATTAATATTTAAACATGCGTGTTAATTAGGTTTGTACGTGTTTCTTTTTCGGAAGGTGGTTTGTACATGTTTCTGCTAAACAAATAATTGGATATTACTTACTGGCATCTTATAATGGTGATCATTTTCTGTTTGTATTCAGAAATGGCTTCCAGAAGCTGGATAAGATTAAAGACTCCAATCGACAAAGTAAACAGCTGGACGACCTTACAGGGAGGATGAGAGAGTGTAAAAGGTATGCGCATATAGTTGTCTGTTTTTGATTACCTTATGTTCCAATATGCGCAAGGTATGGAAGTTTTGAAATCCTTTAGTAGTCATGTTGCATACATAGAACACGCACACTCACAAGGGCGGAGACAACTATGGTCCAAGGTGGGCAAATGCCCCCTCCCCCTTCCACTCAAATTTTTTTTTTATTACTTAGGTGTGTATATTATATATTTGTTCAATATATTACTTGTGTCCACCAAAAATTAATGACAAAAATATTAAGCCCACCGTTATAATATAGTGAATATGTATTTTAAGTATTTCTTCAATATTTTTAATTATACCCACCCTATTTTTTTAGCACATCAATTAATATACACTTATATCAAACGAATAATTTTAATTATGTCCACGCTATTTTTTTTGGCACATCAATTAGTGTATATTTATATCAAATGAATATGAATTTTTTGACACATTTTGGACAGGTTATGTACTTCTCTAGATAAAGTTTGAATATTTTAGAATTGTTTTATACTTTCTTAGACTAAAAAAGACATGATATACATATTCGTAAGTTTACTTGTGATTTTGACATTTGTTTTTGCTAATTATGGTAGAAATTATAGAGTGCATATTAAACTGCATAATCGATCAAATGAGTTATAAATACCAAAGAGATAACATGATTGTATATATAAAGAATAATAAATTTGTTATGTAACGTTTTCAAAGTACGAAAATTCATCAGAGTCAATTCTAAATGATTATAATTAGCCAATATTTTGTAAAAAAACAAATTTTGTTATTTGTATATACTAGGTTTACCAAATTTTAGTATGTTGGGTTTAATGAACTTTTAAATATTAAATTAGATGCAATTAAATAAATTATTGTCCTATTTCTATCAATTGTAAGAAAAAAATAATAATTTGTTGAAATATTCATGCCCATCCTGACACAATTTCTGGCTCTGTCCCTGCGCACACACACACACACACACACACACGCACACACGTTCTGTGGGTAATTAAAATAGTTTTAGTCTGAAGAGAAGGAAAATAGAGAAATTGAAGTCTGTGAACCACACACAATGTATGTTCAGAATTTCTAATGCTTGACTTTGAAGATCATCAGCTATTTCTTTAAGTGGACATTGACTTGTGAGAATATCAGGTCTATATTAACAGAGATAGCTTTGGCTTTGGATCATATGGAGGCCTTTCAAGTTGTCGTATTTCATAGTTATTGCAGGATTTAGTCAAGTAAAAACGAAGGTTTCTTGAGTGCACTTCATATTGGCTCTTGAATCTTATCAATTGGAATTCAAAAAAGTTAGGAGTTGGTATCTGTATGATTGATTGTTGTCTTAGATGGCAACTGCTTTCTTTTTCTAGTGTGTCCTGAGGATTCATACTGTTTGAAATCTTACTGGTCAACTACTCATTTTAGGTTGATCAAGGAGTTTGATCGTGAAATTAAGGAGGAGGAGGGAAAAAATCCTCCTGAAGTTAACAAGCAACTAAATGACGAGAAGCAATCCATGGTAAGTGCATTGTAAACCCTTGAAAATTTGAATGTCCATTGCACATTAGCATATACGTGGCCATGAATATACATGTACAGTCGCAGTTCATTTGTTCATCAAGTTTTAGTTCCATTTTTTTTAAGATGAAAACCCAAGATTTTTGAATATCTGTTCATTTCTGTTTGGGCCGAGGACAATTTCAGGGGTTTTGTGTGATTTCAAATATATCATATCTTTCGTAGTCTATTTCTTTTCGATTTTTCCCCCCTTTCATTTCCTTTTTCCATCCCATTTAAGACTGGAAATTATTAGATGCAAATGAAATGCATCAAGAAAGCCTAACTACCGAGGAAAGACATCGTTGATTTTAGTGGCACATGTAGAAAGCAAGATGCAAGGTTTTCCAAGAGGAAAAACAGTGAGCTTAATCTCACCCTCGTACTGGAATACCAAATAAATGTGTCTATCCGATCATAAACAAGAACGGTTAAATTATTAGACTTACTTCAATACGTAATCAGAGTTGTGCATTTGGGACATGTCTTTAAACATCGACTTTGATCAGCTCTTTATAGTCCATACACCAAATACAATAAATATATCGCTTTTATAAATCACCACTGTAAAGTGTAAAGGTGATATATTTACTAATATATTTATTTTTATTTATTTCGACCATTTACTTGTACTGGGCAGCTTTTTGTTTGGTAATAGAGATGTCTTTAATGCTTGGGTGGCCCTAACTATTCATATAAATCCATTCAATGGGGAGATTTCTGCTCATCTGATCATATTCCTGGATGCTAAATTTGGTTTTGAGGCATTCAGAAAGTACTGCATCATTGTATGCGCAAGGAAAGAAATTTGCAATGTTCATGTCTATCAGTGGAGAGGCTCATAAGAATGCTCATGTGCAACATTTGCATGCACGCACATGGGCACGCATAGTGGCACTGTTCTCCGGATTTCTCTTTGACTTTTCCTTTTTGACATGTTTCTTTCTGTTTTAACCTTTTCAATTTTGCAGATTAAAGAGCTGAATTCATTTGTGGCATTGAGAAAAACGTAAGTTCGTCTATTCAATTTATTCCTCTTGTTGATCATTAGTTTATAGTTTTTGCCATCTGTAGTTGGACGACTGTTCTAAAATGTGGTTGTTGTAAGATGTATCACTTGAAGTCGGTGTTTCAGTTGTAAGTTGTACCTCCTATCATGAGTTAGAATGGTTTTTCTGCATCATCATGTTACATATCAACAATGCTTTTGTTGATTTGGAAAGTTATGCATTGAATTTTAAGTTTGATATTGCGGTGAAAACTTATATTTGTAGACAGCTGGTACTAAGAAATTGGTTGTCATGGTAGTTTATTGGTGATAGGGTATCAATAGGACAATGGTTGTAATCCAACGATATTCATGCTGTTTTTGTTCCTGTGAATTCTTCAGTGGTGATATGTCATCCTTGTTCTTCAGTTGTGATGCATTTTCTTCATCTTCTGGGTATTTGGTGCCTTAAGATAGGTTTTCCTCTACTATTTGGGGCCATTGTAGGTATATGAGCACCTTTGGCAATAAGAGGGTTGAACTCTTTGACATGGGAGCTGGTGCTAGTGAACCTACAGCTGATGACAACGTTCAAATGGCATCAGGTGAGATCAAATCAATTTTCATGTCTATAACTCAACTGCAGTTTTGTCAATATAAAAAATTATCTAGGAAAGACTTGCTAATATATTCAGACAGTGATACCTTAATGATTTATTTTTTGGTCATTGGATGTCTCATCAACACAATATTTGTCTTTTTATCATTAATATTATCTATTTTATTGCTTGTGGTTAGTTATATTCATTGTCACTAAGCTCTAAATTTTTTACATTAAGATCCTGGGTTCTACACGATCCGTGAGTTTGTAGGATAAATGATTTTGTTATCATTTCCTTATTGTTCAGCCGAGGAAGACTTGAGGGCTTTTGGTTAAAATCTGCAACTATAGTTCCTTATCATATGAATTTTTTTTGCAATTGTATCCCTTTTGTTTTGGTATATGTATCAAATTCTTATATTTCCCTGCGATGTTCTGCGAAACTCCAAAAAGACCATATACAAGTAATATTTCTCAAGCATGTAGATCTTCTAACTAATTTCACAAGGTAAATGGGCTAAAAATGGTGAATAAATTTCTGAATGTTTGCCCATTCACAACTCAATCTACTGAAAGTTTCATGACACTCCTGACATATCAAACTCCCTCGTGGGGGTGTCAATCTAAAATAAAGTTTATGATGTTGGACATCGAGACTGCCCAACATCTGACTGAAAATTTTTTAAAGTTGGGATACAGCTTTCTTTTGGTTTTAAGCAAGAGTATAACTTTAGGAAAGTCAAAGTTAAAAGTTACTTTTAAGTTCCTTTAAAAGTGTAGAAAGTTTGACCTTTTCCAAGATGCAGAGTGCAGAATTAAGATCCTTGAAGACTTTATCCGTGGAGTGAGTGCGGGAGGCGAAAATGGGGCATTGTATCTATATGCATATGCTTACCTATATAGTTGTGTACATACATATACACATTGTCCTTGAGCTGTTTCTTGTTCAAAGTGATTTATTCCAAGTAATGAAAATTCGTGTTACAACAAATATTTGACCTTTTCCAAGATGCAGAGTGCAGAATTAAGATCCTTGAAGACTTTATCTGTGGAGTGAGTGTGGGAGGTGAAAATGAGGCATTGTACCTATATGCATATGCTTACCTATATAGTTATGTACATACATATACACATTGTCCTTGAGCTGTTTCTCTGTTCAAAGTGATTTATTCCAAGTAATGAAAATTCGTGTTACAACAAATATTTGAAATGTTAATGATAATGTTAGGTTATTAATCCCAACTATTTGGGGTTGGCACCTTTGAGAATATCTATGCCTATATTGCACTTGAGCCAAAAATCATCTGATGAACGTTAATTAAAATGATGTATACTTTCTGGATCTTCTGTAATCTGTATACATGTAGTTATTAGACATAGCCATAGTTCTTCACTTTCATGGGTTGCCCTGTAGCTATGTCAAATCAGGAGCTTGTTAATGCTGGGACGAAGACAATGGATGAAACTGATCAGGCCCTTGAACGCTCCAAACAGGTGAATGATTAACTTTGACATGTCTTTTTATTTTGTTGTTACTTTTATCCTAAACTAACAATTGATCAGTAGGTTGTTCACCAAACAATAGAAGTGGGAACCCAAACTGCTACTACCTTGAAAGGCCAAGTGAGTATAAATCACCAGTCGTCTCCATTTTGTGTTGGTCTTGCTTTTTGCCATCTCTGGTCTCTTTATTCTCTTAAATCTCAAACTTGTGCAGACTGAGCAAATGGGTCGTATTGTTAATGAACTGGATACAATTCAGTTCTCTATTAAAAAGGCCTCCCAGCTTGTGAAGGAGATTGGTAGGCAGGTATGTCGGTTTTTAGTTCCACTATATTGAGTGTGTTTCTTCTAGCTGACAAACTAAACCCCAGATTTTTTCCAGGTGGCAACAGATAAATGCATCATGCTTTTTCTTTTTCTGATTGTCTGTGGTGTGATTGCCATAATCATTGTAAAGGTATTTTTCCTAATTACCTTTTCATTGTTCTAAAATTGGTAGTATGTTAATTTATTTGCTTTGTTAATGGTTACTTCTTATTTTGAGCTTTTCATTGGGGAAATCTTTGGTGAATCCTGCAAAATTCTGTCTTTGATCTGCATGGGTAATATTTGTTTGTACAAATGTACGGAAAATATGAATTCCTGATGCACTTACTCTTGTGTCATCAAACATGATCATAATTTGACGATATATTAAATTATATTTACTATTGCTGGTAATATTGTTAAGCTTTAAACAAACAAATTATTAGAGTGGCATGATGTTTGGTTCTATTTACTTCTTGTTGCTCAATTCATTCTCGTGTTATACCACTCTTGTGTGTGGTCATGTTTGATATGCATGTGTGCACTGTAATGTGGGAAGGCATGAACTGCATTGCCAGGGTGTATCATGTTCTAGTGCTACTAGTATTCTAGGCCTTTTTTTCCATCTCAACTTGTGTGTTGCACCACGATGCCTTAAATGTCCATGTGTGCTAGTGATTAAGGAGCTCAATTTCTGTGTTCTAACTACTATTAAATGTCTAGATTGTGAATCCTAACAACAAAAGCATCAGAGACATCCCCGGATTGGCTCCTCCAGCTCCAACCACGCGGAGATTGTTGTACCTAAAGGCTGGTGAAACATTTTGAGTAACTTCTTCATCCCAGATGGGGGGGAGGCTTATTTCATCCAATCTCTTTTAGTCTCGTTTTGAGTTGGCGGGAGAAGGTGGGAAGCATACTGTTCGAGGGTGTGTCGGATTTACGTTACTGTGTCCTTCATGAGATGTGCATATCATGTTTGTGAATTTCTGTGTAAATCATATGCGAGGTTTGTGTTCACCTGCTTTTTTGCATTGGTTTAAATTCATGTTTCTTTCTATAAATCTTCCAAGAACATTGTAGTTGTAGAAATAAATAATATACTGCTGAATCCCGTGTGAGATCTTATGCAAAAAAAAAAACCTATTGGGAATGATGAGACTGCACAATTTTCTATTTATAGTTTTTTAAGTTATGTTTCTAAAAAGTGTGATATGTGGAGTGGCTTAGGATAATGCAATTCCCCATCCCCACTCTTGCGGGGCGGGTACGCTTGACATTATGGAGTGGGTGCACTATAGTTTCATGCACGTCCTCTGTAAGGAGAAGATTTTGGGTAGGCGGAGGTTGTATCCTTATGCTATAATGTTGTATAGTTGATGAGTCTGCAACTGTAAGTCACTTCAAATGTTAGCTTCTTTGCGCAGAAGGCAAGGTTGAGAGAGATTACAATGGAATGTGCGGCAACATCTGTGTAATCTTCAAGGTTGTTGTACAATCAAAGACCATAACACAGAGTGCTGTGGCAAAATACGATTGCAACAGTGTTTGAGTTATTTGTAGTCATTAATAATTTTGGAAGTAATAAAAGAATGTTAAATAATAAAATTATAAGATTTTTTACACTGGAAAAAAAGGGGGGGTATGGTATGGTACGGTACGGTACGGTAGCTAAAAATTATTTGATTTGTTGATACCATAATGCAACAGGGGGTAGGAGTTTTGCACAACACAACATTCTCTCTCTCACGGCTTGTATCTTCTTGTATGTTGCAAGACAAACATGAGAGAGGTGTGAAAGGCTGCTGGCTTCTACTTAGAAACATATCCTCCCGGTTACCTACCTAACTCGCAACTACATAAAAACTTCGAGCTCACAAATGATTGGATTCAAAATGTTAATAGTTGTTGGAAGAAAGTCTTTGCCGGCCGCCCGGGTAGCATTACTCTAATTAATTATAATCCATTCCTCCCTTACGATTATTCGATAATATCAAACCTTGCTCCCATTTTGCACGTTTGCCCTCCTAGCAGCCCTGCTAAACACACACACAGATTTTGATTTTGTATATACCAACAATAAAAGTCTTCCATCAATTAATATTAGTATAACGGCCGACAGAGATGTCTGGGATTTCATTCGTTTGGTTTGTATAGAGAGAGTAGTTAAGTCTTGTAGTTGTACCATACCCATCATATGTCTATAAATAAATCACCAATCTTTTGATAGTTAATCATATTTTGTTGTATAGCCATTTTGGCTCTTTCAAACATGCCCTAATCAAGATTCAGGCATTCACCTGTTGGGTTTATTACTTGAGTAAAAGTCAATGGAAATCATTTTTGAGAAACTTTGCCTTCTGTCATATTAAGAATCTTTCATTATTACATGTTCCACCTTCTTAAAATTCACTTATCAAAACTACACTCTTTACATTTCACCATTACCTTGTACATGGTTGCCAAGTTTTGTTTTTTTTTTTTGAAATTTTACATGGTTTTCAAGTTGTCAAAACTAACATATACATCTTTATTGATTGACAGGTCGATATCGAATAACCTATTTAAAAACAAAAAGATTTTTATAACCACTTAGTGTATCGAACTTAGTTCTACAAAAAAAATGTTAGCAGAAGAAAAGTTCCCGATTGGCAAGTGGACTAAGTCCGTGGGACATGTGGTTGTGTAAAGTTGAAGGTATGTTCAATTTTTTTATTTTTTGTTTAGAACTATAAGGTATGATCAATTCAAAGTTCTATTAAATAACTTCCATCTGAAGAACCTATTTTAAAACATGTGAAAATGAAACTTTAAAAACAATCCTATCATGTTGACTTTCATGCCAAATTGCTAGTATTAGGAAGCATAAACTAATGGACAAAGGTAGATGAAGCACACCTATCCCAATATGCATACTTTTCCTTATGTAATTAAAAAAAAAAAAAGGATTTTCTACTGTTGGAGGAATTTAATTTATGAAACAAGCACACTTGATACATTGGTTGTGGTTGGATCCTCCTTTTCAATGATGCATATATATATGCAAGGCAGGCATAGACTAGGGAAGCATGATCCATCACTAACTACCAATGTATTGTATCTCACCATATATAGGATTTGATTTGGGTGTTGGAGTTTATAATTTTTATGGGTTAGTAGATAAGTTGTTTGATGTCTAGTTACAATTAAAAATATTGATAATCGATTATAAAATATATAGTTGATCCTAAGAAATTTATAATTTTTTGGGTGTTATATTACAACTTCTAGGGTTTTAGTTAATATTTGTGGGGGTCATGTTGTAAAATTTTAAAGTATTTAGGATCGATCCTAATAATTTTAAAATTAATAAAAAAAATTTATGTTCAATCATAAAAAACCCAAAAATGTTATAAATGACCCAAAAAATTGTAAAAAAACTCTTAAAAAGTTGTAAATGACAGAATTTATTTTTCCCCATACCATACCATACCATACCATAGTATTCATTCTCCCTATAAGTAAAGTAAGATTTAAACAGTGACTTTCCAAAAACATTTAAATAGTGATCACATGCCGCATGATGAATGAAATAAAGAATGCAGTCTAATAATATACATTGTGGTTTTATGTATGTTGACGTGGAGATAATTCAAGTCTTGATTAAGCTAAATATGTAACAAGTTAGAGACATTGATCAATATGTCTGAATGGAATGTATTTATACATCTATCACTGCCTTTACATTTCCTAAAAGAAGACTTGAAATCTTCCATTTTATGTTGCACAACTAATATAGGATTGGCAAAGTGCATGAGACAGAGTCTAGAGACGATCAAATGTAACAATTCTACATCGACTTTTTTTACTCCTCAATATGCAGAAAAAGTATTTGGTTGGGCCCTTACAATGGTCCTATGGCCAGCAGCATGCACATTAGCCGGCGAGAGTCAAAGACTTTGTACATATGATCCTATTTACTGGTGGGTGCATCTAACATTCCACTGAAAAAGGAGGTGGACATGTATGTAAATATCATGTCCACAGTTCTTAGGTCATAGCTAGCAGTTCTTTCAAAGGGAAATTATTTGGAGACCTTTCAAGTTTCAACTCAATCAATTATTCAACACATAGTAAGAAGATGGAAAGTTAAATATGTATCAAGGATGACATGGTCTGCTTTCTATTTCACTGATCTTTGCTTGCCTAGACCAGTATGATTGATTCCCTTGGACTACCATGATTTCTCTACACTTTTACTTCTCGGCAGGCAGATGAATTATTACGTTGTTGGGGGCACCTGTCAAAAATTCAAGGCGACTCCAGGATGATTTCAACAGTTATAATTAGGTGTTTTACTGCTCTGCTGATTGATGCCCCAAATAGGTCTGGCTTGATGCCCAAATAAGCTAGAGTCAAGTTACTGTCTTCCACCCATTTTCAACTCATTTGTAAAGATGTAAGTTAAATTCATATTTTGTCAAGTTCATGTCATATATAAATAATATTTAACGATTCTATGTTGTTCGACGAACCTAATATATCTACTTGTTTACCAATAAAACTCATCATAGACAAATACAAATTGTGTTCATTTCTGTAGAAGTTATGAGTCTTGTATAGGATTAGTAATGGTGTAGAGCTACCTCTGTAGTTTGTACTGTCCAGCAAACAGAAAAAAACAGGGGGTATATTGGAGGGAGCAGAAGGTCATTTAATACTCAAAAAGAATATGTATGGCATCCAGTCTGTTTCTTTGACTATCCAACCTGCTAGATTTCATATCCCAACACATCAACTAAATATTACTTCAAAAATGGCCAATAAATGAGATGCCAAACAAATAGGTTTTAGGCTGGTGGGTGTCCAGTCTGTTCATATCACCTTGCATAGCAACCTATCATTAATTTAAATGCCATTTAATTATTTCTTTAAGCCTGGTGATTGCTTGTGTCCTATACTCATAATTACTATTATAATTTTTTTTCTTGCTAATTCTAAAATTGTTGTTTGACTAACAATGTAGTTCAAAAAACAAAAATAATAAAAACCCACACAAGAGTTCTGATTCTTGAATGTAATTATTCTAATTGAGCTTCTGATAAACAGTCATATTCAGAGTCACAGTCACCTTCAAGGGTCTTTAGTTATTTATTTATTTTTTTGAGGTCATACCCAAAAAAATAAAAAAAGTTCCAAAATTTCATGCTTCTCTTTTACTGTATGTTACGCATTACCTAACACTGATAAGTCCTCGCCTTCTTATTATTCCCGCCACCACTACCATTCCACACATCCCAGAATTCCATGTGCTTTGTTGTGTGTCTGTGTAATTCTAATTCCCTTTTAAACTTCAAAAGAAAGTTTTCTGTTTGGCATCTCTTCAAACAAAGGTGTTATTTTCAGAGGTTTTCAGTAATAAAGACACGCCATGTGATGTGGGCAATAGAAAAGACCCAGAAAGGAAATCCTAAAATGCTGCCTATACATATGGGATTGTTGACAATGGGGTTTATTTGACTGGGTTTACTTCCAAATGAGTTTTAGCCCGTGTTAGTTAAGGGATCTAGGGTTTGGAGTTTGGTTCATCATTCTTTTCTGCAGAGAAAGGCTGTGAAGAAGGTTTCTGGAGACTGCTTTTTTTCTGAATCTCATCGGATAGAGGTAAAATGAGAAGCCTTTCACATATACATTTGTGCATTACCTCTATTCGGTTTCTCTTCCATCTCATATTTTTCTGTTGAATGGTTTGTATAGTTAGGAAATGAGCAAGACTGAAAGAAAAGTATATGCTTTTGTTATACTCTTCTTCAGTTTATACGTAAATGTTTGCTCAATTTTTTTTGGGTATTTGGTACCGAGTCCGTTTGTGTGACCACTTCTCTCTCTCTCTCTCTCGTATTTTTGTGTTACATGTGCTTTATCATTTTAACCTCTCCTTTATTTCCTTAGCTTCTGGAACTGAAGAAGTGGTGAACATTTGGCAATGTCACCAAGTATCAAATGCATCCTTTGTTGTTTTCTGTTATTGGAATGCTTTGAGAAATAAAAACTGGGTAAAAAGTCTTCGAAATTATTTGAAAGGATGCAGAGTGTATTTAAAGACACCTTTATGATTTAATGGTTACAACATACATGAGATTGCATCATCAACAATTTTATTTTTGTATATCGCAGGCATCTCTTTTGCAGAAATGTCGTCTGATCTCAATACCGGACTGTCTAAGAAAACACATATTTTCAATCTTAGTGTGTGGATGTTACTAGCAACCTTTGTGGGCGTATTTATTGTAATTATTCTCTTGATTCTATCATTTTGTCTTTCAAGAAAGAAATCTAGAAGGGCTAGTGATATACTTCCTGTTAGCCAAATCCCAACTGTATCAAAGGATATTAAAGAGATAAGGGTCGATCAGAATTTAGCTAACAACTTTGTTGGCTATGATGACAAGTCCAGCTACAAAGATTCAGACACGCTTTTGGTGCATTCTAGTATTGAGAAGGCAAAAAATCTTGATAGTAGCAGTCAGTCAGGCTCGTTTAACTATTTAGAGAAAGATGGAGTTGGATTGGAATCAGGAGAAAAGGGAAGCAATGGAACGATAAATATGTACCAGCCTTCTTCACATCCCATTAGTGTTTCTTCCCCTCTATCTGGTCTACCTGAGTTCTCTCGCCTTGGATGGGGTCATTGGTTTACATTAAGGGACTTAGAAACTGCAACAAGTAGGTTTTCAAAGGACAATATTATTGGTGAGGGTGGATATGGAGTTGTTTATAGGGGCCATCTGATTAATGGAATTCCTGTGGCTGTGAAGAGGCTCCTCAACAATCTGTAAGTTTTCACACAGCCTTGTTCCAGTTGCTACACAACCACTTTTTTCCCCGTAATTATTATGAGGATAATAGCTTACTAAATTATGTCCTGTATTGAAATATGTTGGCTGCAGGGGGCAGGCAGAGAAGGAATTCAGTGTTGAAGTTGAGGCTATTGGTCATGTGCGGCATAAAAACCTAGTTCGGCTTCTGGGTTACTGTATTGAAGGAACACACAGGTATGACATTCCTTAAAGAATGCCCTTTATTTTCTGCTTATCAAGATGATTTGTAGTGTAGATGAGTAAACCAATGAAAGGAGTATTGAGCATTTTTAGTACATTTGACCTATATTCTTGGTGAAAGATAAACCAATGAAAGGAGTATTGAGCGTTTTTAGTACATTTGACCTATATTCTTGGTGAAAGGATGATGCATTATGACTTCATTAACAACTGTACTAAAAAAATCTGACTTATTTCCTTTACTGCGTTTTAGCCAAAGATAGTGTCTCTTCCTGTGGCTAAATGGGGCTTTTTATGGAAAAGACAAAGGGTACATCATCCCTCCCATTCATACCTAATGATTTGATGCTATCCTCATACAACTAATTGTAATTTAGGTTTATCAAAGACAAAATTAATGTCTGATGGGGAAATTTCTTATCAGTGTGATTTTTGAACCTTGAAAGGTTTCATCCAGCCTACGAGATGCATATTAAATCAATTTCTTCTATTCTTTTTGAGTAAATTTTAGGTTGTTAGTTTATGAGTATGTCAACAACGGCAATTTGGAGCAATGGCTTCATGGAGCTATGTGTCAACATGGATATCTTACTTGGGAGGCCCGCATGAAAGTTCTCCTTGGCACTGCTAAAGCGTAAGCCCATTTATAGCTTTATATGTGTTATTCAATCCTCTCCGGCTTCCATATTTGTTTCATACTTATTGTCCTTCTTGCAGACTTGCATACTTGCATGAGGCCATTGAGCCAAAAGTTGTGCATCGGGATATTAAGTCCAGCAATATACTAATTGATGATGACTTCAATGCTAAACTATCTGACTTTGGTCTGGCAAAGTTGCTGGGTGCTGGAAAGAGTTATATTACAACCAGAGTTATGGGTACCTTTGGGTGAGTCAGATGCCTGAAATTTCAGTTGTGCACGTGTTCATTGTCTATATTTTCCTTCATTTAGTTTCTTCTATGAAAGATTTAGGAAGCAAGACAATTGATAATTGATTGATAAATTAATTTATTTTGTTCCCTTTTTCTTTTTGGCTTTCTTCTCAATTGTACAGATATGTGGCTCCAGAATATGCAAATAGTGGCCTCCTCAATGAGAAGAGTGATGTTTATAGTTTTGGAGTTGTGCTCTTAGAAGCAATTACTGGAAGAGATCCAGTTGACTATGGACGTCCCGCACATGAGGTATGTTAGAGTTGTTTCCAAAGCACTGGAAGTTCGTTAAATTTCTATGCGATGCATTGACTAATGATATTAGCACGTTCTCATAGATGTTAATTGGTAAAATATTTCAGAGGCATTTTACACTGGGTTTATTTTGTGAGATGTTTTCTTTCACTTAAACTTTTTTTCAAGTTTACTGAACTAATACATTGAAACACTGATGATTCATGACCAAAAAAAATACAAATGATTGATTTAGGCATGAAGCATCCCGTGCACAATTGAAAGGATATCTGAATTTTTACATTGCCACTTTATATAATTGAATCCAATCTTACCTTGTGCATACCTTGGTATTTTTGGGGTGTATACAAATGATTTGGGAAAATCTAGTGATGCAGAACCCTCTTTCTGAACGTTAGTTCTTGGGTGAAGGAATTGATGATTGAAATTGGATAACAATTTCTTTAATCAAGGCAAGTTGACTCAGTATAGGAATATGAAGAGCTTAAAATCACCACTTGAACAATTCAAAACAATTGGGCTAAGACCAGGACAAGTGAAAAATAAAATCTGGAGTAAACAACAGCTTACTGAACAGCGAATACTCAAAGCAACGAGGTTCTGTGCATAGAGGGGGGTAGTGTTCTTTAAAACATACTGCATCCTTTTTGATTCCTATTCCTAATTCTTATATGTCTTGTCTTCAAATGGAACTCCATATTGGCAGTGCAGTGTAGTTCTATTTTCCCTTAAATGAATGGGACTTCCAAGAAAATAGGATTTCATATTGAGCCCCATATTTAAATTATTAGATGATACGTCTCCTACTATCTCTCACTTTTGGAGTTCATACAAGTTTTTAACAGGTCATTCATTCATCATGCAATCTTCTATTTTATATAATCGTTTGACTTCTACTGACTCCTGGGCTTTGAATCATTGAAATTGCACCTTACAGCCTTATTTTCCTGATCTTTTGGATATTGTGCTTCTGCAGGTAAATCTGGTTGACTGGCTCAAGATGATGGTTGGCAGCAGGCGCTCAGAAGAAGTTGTTGACCCAACCATCGAAACCAAGCCGTCTGCAAGTGCCCTTAAACGAGCCCTTTACACTGCTTTGAGGTGTGTAGATCCAGACGCTGACAAGAGACCTAACATGGGTGAAGTTGTCCGCATGCTTGAGTCAAACGAATATCCCATACGACGAGAGGTTTGATTCTAACTCATATTTAAGACAAATTATATTATGTATAAGATGGAAAGTTTCTCGATTATGTCTTCATACATCTCATCATTTGTGTAGTTGGCAAGTCTTTTAGACCAGAGTACACTTTCGAAAGCTACATTCATTTATATTTTTATAAAGAACTCCCAAGACACACAGCAAACAAGTAAAAAGTACCAGAATACACACCACATACCTTCTGAAACTTGAAAGTTCATTTGGGATGATGTTAGTAAATAAACCTTCAACCAAACCCTGTTTGGACTTTCAGGATCGAAGACGCCGAAGGAATCAGTCAGGGCCCAAAGAAGCGGAGTCTCAGAGGCATAGCGTAGTCTCAGAGGCAGAATTCTGATGAATGACAATGCGGAATTGAGGTCAGAAAGCAAAAAGAACAACCAGGCCAGGCGTAAGCAAGTATGCAAGCCACTTACTTATATAGTCCACATTTTTTCTACCTTTGTGAGTTCAAGATGAGTTCGAAGGCAGGCAGTGGAAGCAAGTCATAAAGGAATAGCATTGATATATGTCTTTTGGTTTCTTATTCCCAAATTATAGATGTTGGAGACAATGTGACGGTTGTGCAGAAAGGAATGATAGAATATACCACCACAGCTAGTATTCTGTACATGTCTTTTTTTTCTCCCTGTATTTCATTTTCCCCACCGTAGGTAGTTCTTGGTAATTCACATGAGCATTATGAAAGGTTGTGTAAGAGGTTTGATTTTGCAATTGAATGCGAAGAGAGCTTTTTCATTTTTCTTTCGTGTTTCATTTTATTTCTCTGGCTTGTTAATAAGGTGAAAAGAACTACTGCTGCTGACTTGGGGTTAAAAACGTTTCTTTGTGTTCTTCAACACACTAAGTACGTCACCCCTCTCTCTCTCTCTCTCTCTCTCCGTTGGCAGAGTTGCTTTCGTAGTTAATTTAAAGTGCATATGAGGGAATCATTCAAAATACTCTATGAAAGATATAAACAAACATTTCCTTCCAGGAAGGAAGCAACGGATAACAGTAAACATCAACTAAGAAATTTCCCAAAAACCAAAGTCCATGAATTCTAGGCAACTTATGAGACTTGGATGACAGACCGTAGCTCCTATTGGCAATTCCAAAATCTTTACTACAACCGAGAAGCAAAGAAGAGCAATGTCAATCATTTCAGTGCATGTGTAGAATGACTCTATACATTACACCAAAAAACTCAATGACACGAAAGAAAATAATTTACAATACCCTATAGGAAAACAAATCTTGACGAGATATTTAACAAGGGGTCGAGGAGAAAAGATTCAAACTCTTTACAGTACACTTCTTTCTATTTGTGGGTGGATGACCGATTCATTATGTATGGATAGGTGCCCACTTACAATAGTGGATCTCTCTTGAATTCATGGTTATAGAGCTAAACATTGAAGAAAATTAAGAAAAAGTGGACTTGCAGAGCTGTCACGCCGAGAAGAAAGGGAACAATTCACAAGTCTCTTCTTTCACTGGGTGGTCCAGGTCGAGTGTTCAACAGAGGCTGGAGAGCTTTAACAACAATGCTCATGTTTGGCCGGAAATCAGCTTCGTATTGCACGCATAAGGCAGCAACTGCAGCCATCTGTTTCCAGCATGACAATAAAAAGCGAGAGGACATTAGGTCAAGTAAAATACTTCCCAACATTCATCAGATAGAAAACTTGGTTTCAAACTTGGAATACAGCTCCCAGGAGGGTAGGCATAGTGTAATTGCAACAAGCGAACACAAAAGGATGTATGGGCCAAGACATTCATTCCTTTAATTATGCCTAATTAAAGGAATTAGGTATAATTTCAGTTACCTTGGCAACAGCCTTGTGAGGGTAATCTCCATTCAATCTAGTGTCAACACACTGCTTCACCTTATCTTCACTGAGTTTTGGGGTTGCCTAATACAATCCACATGATCAAGAATCAATTAGATTATAACAATTCCAAGAATATCAGTGTCCAAAATCAAGCATGTAAGCAACCTCCAAAGGTCAAATGACAAGAAGCTATCAAGATGAAGTGAGTACCCATGTTACAAGACTCTGCTGTCCACGTGGCAACGTATGATCAACAGGTTTTCGCCCAGTCAAGAGTTCTAGGAGGACTACACCAAAACTATAAACGTCACTCTTTGAACTCAGCTGCCCAGTCATTGCATATCTGCCACCCGAAACAAGGAAACTCTGACCAGTGAAGTGCAAATATTGTGGAAATATGCCAAGTAAAATATAGATGGACGAGCAGAAAGCAGTTCACAGAACAATTCTGGGTTTAAAAATGGCAGCATCATGAAGATTGTCAATTAAGAGACATAGAATTCTATACTCAGATGTTGGGAAAAACACAAGTACTTAGTAGGAACAGTAGATCCTTTCCTTTTAGTCATTTTTCGCCTCATCCCATGAGGCATACAAAAAGAATAAGACGCTTTCCCTCCTTTCTTTTCTTTTTTTTTTGACTTAAGGAAGATTCGACATGGTAGGTTCTTTGTGTATACTTTAGATATCGAGTAAATGAAAAAAACGCCTGGAAGAGAGTGACTACAATTTGAGTGAGACTATCCTAGCAGTGCAATATCAAATGATGCCTCAACATTTCTTCTTATAAGTATCTGGTCTGTGGTTGGCAAAGAATTTGAGTTTTGAGCAAGTATCCATTTCCAAGAATAAAAAGAAGAGCTTACTCTGGTGCATGATAACCGAAGGTTCCAAGAACACGAGTAGAATGTAAGCGTGCTGCATTATCAGGGGCTTGATTTGACAAATCAAAATCTGCAATCTTAGCAACATCGTCATCGAAAAGTAAAACATTGCTAGACTTGATGTCACGGTGGATTATATGCGGCTGTGCCTTTTCATGTAAGTACTCAAGTCCTCTTGCAGCCCCAACAGCAATTTTAACTCTTTGAGCCCATGACAGAACTGGACCTGGCTGTGCTCCTTTGACACCTTTGCGTCCTACATCCATAATTTGAAAAACATTATTTGTATCACCAGAGGAAATAACTATAACACCTAACTACCACATCATTTAGTGCACATAGTTTTACTCGATGCAAAAATGCATATAGGAAGATGCATAATGAACGGGCTAAATTTAAAAAATGTGTTCCTTTTTCTGCAGTGAAAAGACTCATGGCCGCTCAGAGAAGAAATATTTTATGAAGAACATAATTAGGCATGGTCAAACGCATGGCCAAAGTTGACATCAAGTGAAACATCAACTGAACATGGTTTTAGAGTACTGTAGTGCCCTTTGTTTTTATCAGTCTGTGGAAAGATAGTTGACAAGCAATCTAATCAAGTGATAGATATTTCTGTGTTGTGGACAAGTGCAGCAGACATCATGTGATGGGAGAGAAAACAAGAGGCAGAAATTTATTGAGGGATTCACAACTTCCCAGAACATAGTTATTAGTATCATACGATACACGATACGTCATGATATACCTGAAAAACGATACGTATCGTGTTTCTGTATCGTTTTTGTGTCGTATCGTACGATACACGAAACGTGACGATTCATTTTATTTTTTTTTGTAGGGTTGAAATGACATCGTTTTACCCTAATACTTATTTTTAAATCACTAGCTACTAAAACAACGTTGTTTCAGTGGTTATACTTTAAAAAAAATAAATAAAATCTAATGTTAATGTTCTTCAATTGAATTCAAAATTCCTGATTAATATTAATGTTGTTCAAGCAGTTGATGTTAGAAGTTTGAATTAGAGGCCTTTGCATTTTGATATTACTGAACTATGTTGGAAATTTGAATAGTTGATGGAATATTAATGAAATACTATGTTATTATGAGTCTATGACTTTTTTTATAAAGGTATATACATATATTTTATTAATAATTATTTAAAAATTAAAATTTCTCGTACACAATATACGATACGATATACTATTTTTAAAAAACGATACACTTTCCGATACACGATTTAACAACTATGCCCCAGAAAGAAATGGTGGTGCACATCTTATCATGGATCATAGAAGTTCGAGTTTTCATCGTTTTCTAATGGATTTAATTCATTATATATGATGACTAACATTAATTTATATATAGTATTTTCCAAATGTCTTGGACACTTGATCCACTACTCCTAGATATTATCAGATTAAGTTCTAATAGTATCAGTATTATAATCAATAAATGTCTCTCAAATTAGCTTCACATGATGAGGTTGCAGTGGTTATCACTTTCAAACTCATAAAAACCAACCAGGGAAAAAAAAAAGATGTGCCCAAGTTATGGAAATCCGCCCATATCCAATCCTTTATTATTGGAGTTGCCAAAATATTTTCACGCATGGATATGACATATACAATATCCGCAGGATTTGAAAACACTCTACATGTTGCATTTGCTAGTGATAACATCCAACCTCACACAGAAAAAACTTGACATACATACCGTGGAGAATATCATGAAGTGATCCATTCAAAGCAAATTCATAGGCAAGGATACGTAGACCTCCATCCACACAATAACCAAGTAGCTCAACAACATTTTCATGTTTTAGTCTTGATACCATAGAAACCTGTACCATCATGCATTAGATGAGGGGAATTCTAGCTGAAAAGTAGCATATAACATAGCTTTATTAAACATAGCATACTGTCATAGGTCCAACCTGTGCTAAAAATTCTTGGTCAGGTTGCTTACTGGAGTCTAACTTTTTAATGGCTGCAGCCTGCCCACTTTTCAGGACACCATGATATACTCTTCCATACGAGCCTTCACCAATCAAAGCTTTTGTGCCAAAGTTATCCGTAATCTCCTTCAACTCATCCACTGGAATAGCAGGGATAACAATAGGCTGGAAACTTACAGTTTGTGTTACCTTCGGTGCAGCATCCGTGGCACGATAACCTCCATAATTACCTATACATAAACTTTTCAGTAACTTTCATATTGATGAAATCAGAAACCTCGTAACCACTATTAAGAACAACAAAGAATGAAATAAAACTGGCGTGATGCTAAGAATGGCGACACTTGCACGTCACATAGATCCACACAACTGGAATATAGCGTCCAAGGAAGCCAAGCAAGAAACATAAACCAAAGAAATACACGATAGGTGAATATACAAGTCAACTTCAACCGAATAACCAAAGACAAAATGTTTGAGTTTCTACCACAAATTGTCTAGGCAAACGTAGAACCACATACATGCCTTCTCTCATTTCATGCTTTAAGCCATAAAACACAAACTTCATGACTCACATTATAGTGAATAATTAGTAGTTATCTTCCCCAAAAAGGCTAACAAAAATTTATCAGCCACTTAAAGTGGTAAAAAAATGCAGCTTAGTGCACAAGACTACCTCTATTGCGGGTATGGAAAGAGTCAGATGAGCGCAACCTTACCTTGCACGGAGGGAGGTTGTTCCCATGGAAGTATAATGTTGTCAATTATCTATAAACTACAGCCTGAAATACAATTTACCTGCAGAG